GGAGACTGAGAAAGATGGGTTCAATAATGGATACTACACTGAAACAGTAGAGGGAGAAAACTGTTTAAAAGGGATATGTGATTAAGTATTTTTGTCATGACAGGTGTCTAGAGCAAAGGCTACATGATGGAGTGGACCTGGGGGAGGGTTTGTAAAACAAAGAAAGAATTTCTGGTTTACAAGAGGGTAGTATACTAGGGGGGAGGGTTGTGAAGGGAGAAAAGTGCAACAATGAATGACTGGAAATCCAAAGTCTCTGTAAATTTTTACTGAAATTAATAATAAATTTTAAAAAATGAGAAAAGAAAAAGAAAAAAGCAATACAAATTTTTTATGTACCTATCTTCAAAACACAGACATTTTCCTATTTGAAAAAATGAGTCTACAAGGTTCATATCACAAACTCATTTATACTCATATCACTATGCATAATGGTTCTATTTGTAAACAAACATACTTTCAGGAAGTTTTTCTATACAGTATTACAAAAAAATAATAATAATAATTAACAACCAAAAGAAATTTACACACAATTTGGTCCAATAATTAAATAAAACATAAATTAACACACAGGAGCACAGTTAAGTGTTCTGGGATTCTCAATTCTTCTCAACGTGAGCCATAATATATTATGATCCGTGTGGTAAAATGCCTTTTAATAGTCAATAAAACAGATAGACATTCTTTCCAATCACTTGCTATGCATCTAGGACATTCATTGCTGTACAATGAAGGCGGCTGACAGAAGAAGAATTGATGATTTTGAGCTACAGTGTTGGAGAAAAGCACTGAACATCCCATGGACACAGCTGGGGTGCTCTTTGGAGGCAAAGGTGATAAAGTTTCACCTCATATACTCCAGGCATGTTGCTAGGAGGAGTTATTCCTTAGAGAAGGCCATGAAGCTTGGAAAGGTAGATGGTGGGTGAAGGAGAAGAAGACACTTGACCAGGTGGATTGACATGGTGACTGCTGCAATGGTCTCTTGTGTGTCAGGAAGCGAGAGGCTGGCACAGGATAGGACAGAGTTCAGATCTGATATTCATAGGGCCGCTATGAGTTATACTCAACAAAACCGAATAAAAATATATAAAGCAAAACTGTTTATGTGGAGAAAAGTGTACAGTTTATATAGCTAAATGGTTCTACATGTACAAAAAAGTATGAGAGAAAATGCATGAAGTTTTAATAGTGAAAAACTTTCCAAAAAGGATTTTAGGGAGGAAAAACTCCCAAGAAATTCCACTGCTGTCAAGTCAGAACTGACTTATAGTTGATGCTCCAGAGACATTCCCAAGGCTGTTAAGTCATACAGTAGTGAACTGCCCATCAGGTGATTTTTCCTTGATATAATTCTGAATTATGTGAAACTTTAACAATGAACACAAGTGTTACTTTAATAATTTTTTTTAAAGCCACAAGATAAAATAGTTTAAAAACCAAATGCTTTTAAAAGCCTCAGGAGAAATTAAATATGCTTGACTTAAAATTTTAAAAGTTTAATATTAAAAAGGGTTGACACCCACCCCCCCCCAAAAAATAAATGGACTGAGAAATTGTGATACATTCACACAATGGCACACTATTCAGCACTAAGGAACAATGATTTCAGAAAATACTATAAAACTCAGGAGAGACTAGGAAGTATTATGCAGAGTGACACATAAGGAAAAATATTGCATAAGGCCACTAATGTGAAAACAGGAGGGTAACTGAGAAAGATGTGTATACATGTTCAAAAGAGGAGAGAAAGGGGGCAGGAAAAGGAGACAGGGGAGAAATCACTGGGACAGCAGAGGTTGGTGGGCGGAGGGACCTGAAGTGATGGGAAAGGCTCAGTGGGGACCTGAAAAGACAGGAGGGTGATAACAGGCACAGAACAATGGCAACTAATTATACGAAATATAATGTGCATGAATGCTGTATAAAAAACAAAGCACATGTATTAAACATGATGTATATGATATGAGTCGCAGGCAACTAGATGGCATGTAATAACAACAACATGATTATATGTAAACCAATAAAAAATTTTATTGGCAAAATAGTATGAAAGAAAAAAGTATGAAGAGCAAAGTGGGATAGGTATTTAATAAAACAATTTGAGATGCTATTTGCTTTTTAAATGCTAATTTAGCTAATGCATTTGATTATAATTTTTTTGTTTGGTTTATTATGTGATTATGTTCCATTAACACTGTATTTTGTTGACATCAAAACAAAATATGAGATAATCTCAAAGTTAAGATACATAAATACATAAAGAAATATTTATCCCAGAAAAATTGTTATTAACCTTGATCTTTGCTGCTTAATCTTGGATTTCTAAAGAACACAGTGGTGTCTTAGTGGTAAAGAGTTACACTATCAACTCAAAGGAACATGGTTCAAATCCACCGGCTTCTCCATGGGAGAAAGATGGGCGATCTTCTCCCCTGCAATTTACTGCTTCTGAAACCCCACTGAAGGGTCAGCTATGAAGTGGTTCTGACTCAATGGGAAACAACAGCAAAAGAAAAGAAGTGTCGAGTTCCACATCTAAAAATACAATAGTCTGGACTGCAATCCCAGAGGTGCGCGGTTCAAATCCACCAGATGCTCTGCTGAAGAAGGAGGAACAATCACCTCCTGTACCAGTCAGATCCAATTTGACGGTATACACATAAAAATAATAAATAAACAAATAAAAATTTTTAAAAAATTAAAAAATAAAAATATAGTAGTTGGGTAAGAAAATAAAACAAGCTGAAATGTTACAGCACTGTTCTTAAAAAATAAGGTGTACACACACACTCTTGTTCATCTCATGTGTGTAAACTCTTGTTTTACTACAATTATTCCCTTAAGACAGGACTAGACCCATGAGATACCTAACCCACACCCACTGTTGTGGATACCAACACAGAGCAACCCTTCAGGAAGAGTGTCCACAGGATCCCCAAGGCTGTAATCTACAGCAGACTGCCTCATCTTTCTCCTGCTGCCTGCTCAGTGGCTGGTGGGTTCACACCGCCAACCCTTTGGTGAGCAGCTGTATACTAAAAGTCATGTCATCAAGGCTCCTTAGCTACCCACCAGTATGTCCAAACCCATCTCCGGTAATATTTATTCAGAAGTAACATTTCTAGCACCCCCAGACACCCTGCCCTAAACAAAGGAGTGGGGGAAGAGGCCTTTGGAGGTTTATATTAAAGGTCTTTCATTTCACTTAGTGAAAAGAGGGAGGGATTACAAAGAAACACAACTCCAAACACCTCTATGATCACACCTTTGTGATTTGATGTCTTAGACTACCAGAGATTTTAAAAACCAGATTAAAGGTCCAGCATCCCAGCAGCTGGCCCAAGTGGGAGCTGACAGGAGATGGCCAGACACAAAGAGCGCCCAAAATCTCCTAGACCGGGGAAACCGAAATCTCTGCATTTCATGATAATAACTAACTTCTTTCAAATGATGAATTATGAATTAATTTAGGATTTCTCTGAGGCATAATAATATGAATTTATCTACACAGAGAGCTGTGTATATTTAGCTAGTGTACAAACTTGGAACTCTATCACTACAGCTGTATTTTTCCAGCAATAACTCTTATTAGTTTCCAACTTTTGCCAATTATTATTAATGCATCTTGACTGCATGTCTGGCAATTTCAGACTGCAGAAGTTGGTAGGAAATCTTCAACTTTTTCATCTTTGGCCTTGGTGATTTGCGCATTAATTTTAATAACAGTCTCATCAACAGTTCTGCTTTGTATGAGTACTGAAATTATCCTATCACTGACAATTCTGTACTTCAGGACAGACCCTGAAGTGTTCTTTTTGATGGTGAACGTAATACCATTTTCTTCCATTTATCAGTTTGCCTTACTGTCATGGCTTGGGTACTGCTGTGATGCTGGGAGCTACATCACTGGTATTTACATTAAAAACAAGAGGGAGCTCTGGTGGCCTACTGGCAAGAAGCTGCACTGCAATCCTGAAGGCCCATGGTTCAAATCCACCAGATCCTCCTGTGCCAGCTGGATTTGATTCAATCGTACACAACAAGGAAAAAAAAAAGAGAGATAAAAGGCAGGGTCACTCATGGCGGACATATTTCAGCAAAGCTTTCAGACCAAAACAGAGGAAGCACCACTTCTAAAAGAATGAGACTTGGAAAACCCCACGGAACATTATTGGTAGAGTGGCAGAAAACGAAGCCCTGTGGTTGGAAAGCTAATGACAGATGACTGGCGAAGAGCTACCCCTTTAAAGAGAATCTACTTTCATGATGTGAATGGAATAGAGCTTTCATTTGATGATCTGACACATTCAAAAAGAGCAGAGACACTTACAAACATCCACTAATAATCAGAGTGTAGAATGTACAAAGTCTGGATCTAAGAAAATTAGAAGCTGTCAAAAATGAAACAGAAAACATAAAAAGTGTGGTATTAGTAAGCTGCAATTGACTAGCACTGGACGTTTGAACCAGATAATCACAGGGTCCAGAGTGTCACTACTAGGAATGCCATTTCATTCCCTTCTCCAGGAATATCCTCTTACGGCTGTCTCGCTGGAGCCAACTCGCAGGGTTTTTAAGCCTGTGAATCACACAGGAGGAGTCTGTCCCTGAGGGACTCGCATTGAGAGGTGCGGCCTTAGGGTTAGTGCTGCAACGCTCTACAGACTACACTACCGGGACTCCCTAGGAGAATAGTTATTATGTCATCATGGTAATGTTTTTCAATACAAGAGTTATCAATAAGGCGTGCAAACTAGGAACATTAGAAGACTGGAGACTCAGTAATTGGTATTTAAGTTCTAACAGTTCTTTCAAAATTAAGTAGAGAAATTAGTGACCTAAGGAAGGAATGAAAAATGGGCTTTAAAAAGGATAAATTCTGCTTCAACAATTTAGATCCTCCCAGAAGAGCCGTGGGTGAGCATTAACATTACTGGTAAGTATATTAGTTTTCTTCTGGACACAAGAGCCTAATATTTGGTCCTAAAAGCCTTCTGAGGTCCCAACTCTTCTCACTATTTCTTAGTTGTTGGAATTGATGGGAAACCTCATAAGCAGTTCCTTACTTCACCTCTGCCTTGCATACGGGCTTCGGACCCATAAAACAACCCAGTGGTAGATGGAATTTGATCCAGGACTTAAGAACAATAAGTGACATAGTTGAGCCTCTACATCTTGTGGTTCCTAACCTTTATACTATAATAGACAAAATGCTAGTCAATAAGCCTTTTCTTGTAAGAACTACCTTCCCTCTGTAACTTGATTTGTGCCACTATTAGAACCTCTACTTAGAATATTATTGCTTTTTAAGTTTTAACTCATGTACTTTTGTTAGTTAAATTTGTGTCTTCTAGGCTGCAATAGTTCCATGATACATCTTCAAGGATATGAACCTGTACAACTAAGCACAACTGATAACATTGCATCTAAATTCCAAAATCAATCTCCACAATAGTCTACGTGTTTCCTATTGCCAAAGGGGCCCTTTAGAGTAGTGAGAGAAGATCTTCACCCTGAAACCTACAGCGTCCCTTTTCAGTAGGAAATAGCTAAGAGAATGTGCCGTCCCCTTTTCCTTATGAATCAGGGTGAAGTCTCTCTCAGGGAGGAGTGATAGGGAATGGCAAAGGATACACTGACAAAGAAGATTAATCAGAACTGGCTTTGTCAAGCACTGTGGCAATCAGACAATTAAAAGAGACTTTCAAGAGGGGGAAAAAAAAGAGGAACAAACTGGGAGAGGGTAGAGAAAATAGTGCAAAAATGAATGAATGGAACTCCAAAATCTCTGTAAATGTTCATTAAAATAAATAAAATTTAATAAAAAAATTTTTTTTAAAAAGATGAATTCTTTGGTCCTCTAGAGAAGGTAATCTTAAATTTATCAGCACTTCTGAATACACCCTTATCAGGCTCACCTTTTTGCACATACTGATCTGCATGACTGCATAACTGATGAGGGCCTCCTTCAAATCATGGTTCTTTTGTTCTTTGAAGCGTTCAATATCAGCCCAAGCATTTTTTATAAACTCTCTGAAATAAAAGGTACCATCATTATTTTTCCTATTTAAGTAAGCTGTGTATTATAAATTCAAATAACCATTTCTCGTTTGAGTTGGTTTTCAATTGTCCTCATACAAAGAAAAGCTACTTATATAAGACAGTCCTTTTTTCTTTTCCTAAAAATTACAGAGCACAAAAAAAGGCAGAAAGACAGTAATACAGTCTTCTACACTTTAGTAACTTACATTTCTAACACAAGGAGTCCACACTTAGACTATTCTATAAAACAGATGTCGATGGCTCCTTGAACCAGCTTACCTGCATGAAGTGCCTCCCTGGAGTCAGGGGAAGACATATCTTTTTGACAGGATGGATTATGAATAACACTTATTCATAATGTATCTTTTTTAAACTGCTGCTGTTGTTGTTGTTAGGTGCCGCTGAATCAAGTACAACTCAGAGTCCCTATGAGTAACAGATCTGAACCCTGTCCTGTCCTGTGCCATCTTCATCACCTCTGACACATGTGAGCCCATTACTACATTCACTGTGTCAGTCTGTTTGGTTGAGGTTCTTCCTCTTTTTCACTGAGCCTTCACTTTTCATGATGTCCCTAAAAATATGTGAGTCGAAGCTTCACCATTCTTGCCTCTAAGAAGCCCTCTGTTTTAAACTAGAGTTTTATAAATTTTGATGAGTATTTTTTTTTACTCCTATTTGTGAAAATCACTTTACTGTATGCTAATGGTCCTAAAAGTTAATAAAGCCACCTCAAATATACACTGTTTGTCTACTGTCAGATGACAACAACAAGGAAAACAAGAAGTGACTGCAGATCTTTGGGAATCTGATTTTTTATTTTCATTTTTTGAGAATAAAATCTGCAAGGCAATGGAATAAAAAAGAAAAGGGAGAAAGACATGAAACATTCATAATATTTAGTCAGGGATATAGTTACAAAGAACAAGCAACCACTCAATGAGTCAAGTACACTGGGAGCCTGAGAGGATGAGGTTTCAAGAGCTGGGCCCTGAAGAAGGATTAGGCTTTGTTTAATGAGGAAGAAAACAGGGCAGAGGGAATATGCAATGGATAGAAGTCATGAAAAATACAGGAAAATGATGTTATTATGAAATGTAAACTCTTATAAACTAAAACAATATTTCTAGAACATGATCTTTGTAATTCAAACTTCTTAGAAATTTAGTCACTGAATTTTAGAACAGATTATATCCAAGGGGGGGACAATGAAGCTCAGGATTAGTATAAAGAACCACCCATCAAGTGATTTGCAAGTCCAGCTTTGTTAAATATCTCAGTATATTTACCTGCCTTCCAGATTTTTGGACTTCAGTTGTTGTTCCCCTTCACTTATTTGTTCTTCGAGCATCTTTATTCTGGCTTCTCTCTGCTCTGGAGTTTCCTGACCAAAAAGCTTGGTAGTCATTCCCTTCAAAGAGAATGTTCTCACAGTCTGAAAGAAAATAGAAAACATGTGACATTCTCCTACTGGAGACCGCCTTTGCCACCATCATTGATTCCAACCCATGGTGGTCCTAGAGGACAGAGACAGCAGCAGCACAGGCTTTGAGGGCTCACTATATTTCTGGAAGCAGACTGTCTCATTCTTCTCCCATGGATCTGAATCCATAACCATTCTGTTAGAAGTCTAACACCTATGCCACTGTAACATCAGGGTTCCTTCAACTCCAGACTTATATACCAAATGCCTTACAACCAAGGAATTCCTAATACTGAAATAACATGGAATAGTCAAAAGTGGGGGAAATGAAAATATAATAGAAAAAAAATTTCAGGTAAAGTACTGGGGAAAGTAATTTGTGACTTAATATTGGTGTCATATTTATTTGATCATATCATGACATGAAAATACCTAAAATACAACATGCACCCATGGAAATAAACCAAAACTAAAAAAGCAGCATATTTAAAATTTTAAATTACTGAAACTTGGGCATCTATTACTAAAGCACAATTCTACCCCTCCCTGGCATTGCTTGCACACTTCTCTACTCTCTTGAGCTTACTGAAGGAAACACCACTTTTTCTTTAAAAGTGTCGGTGTAGACAACCAGATCCTGGAATAGGGCCTTGGAGTTTTCCAAGTTTTAAATAAATCAGCAGCTAGTTTATACATGTTTCATAGTCAAAGGCCTTTTCCAATATAAAACTATGACTTTTCATAGATATAGCCAAGTGGGTAGGTGGTGCAAAAAGCACTTTATAAACTACAGCACTCGAAAAAAAATGTGGTGAAACATAACAAAACATTTGCCATTTCAAAGCTTTTACGTGTGGAATTCAATATTCAATCACATTTATTCACTATGCTATGCAACTATCACAACTGTCCATTTCTAAAAAAAAAAAAAAAATTTATCACCCAGAACAGAATTTCAGTACCCCTCAAGATTTAAATAATATTTTACTTCTGCCCCAAAATGTTTTAAAAGGAATTCTCTAAGGAGCTCTGGTGGCCTAGAGGCAAGAAGCTGCACTGCAATCCTGAAGTCACCTGGTTCAAGGCTACCAGCTGCTCTGCTGGAAAAGGTTGGGCAATCTCCTTCCATGTGATTAACAGCCTCAGAAAACCTGCCAGAGGGTCAGCTGTGGGTGGCCCTGACTTTACAGTACATAATAACAACAATAACTGGTTCATCAAGTATCAATTCACTAGCAACTCTAGTTTCATCCAGTATTTCTCTCTTAGTCTATCCAGGCCCTTCTCCTGTGTCTCCAGTCAAGATGGTTGGTAGAATAGTTAGGCACCACTCAGTTCTTCCAATTTCAAGCTAAATGAGGCCCACAGTTAGTGTGGGCTCTTCTTCTAATGAACTGGTCTCCTTTTAGCTTTCGGTCTCCTTTTTTCTCTTTTGTTCCCCGTGAGTACAGATAAACTACTGCATCTTTAGATGGCCACTGCTCTTGTGGTGACCTGTGTTTTGTCAATGGACTGGGTTGTCCCATGAGACCCCTACAGCACTTGTAAAGTATGGAGTGACAGATAAATACATGGTAGCATTGTCTCTGCTTCATTACTTCCAGATGTATGCTCTCACCAGGAAAATGGATTTATTCCAGTGGGAAAGCTGGATAATACAAAGCTGGTCATAAAAAGATCTAAGTCTCATATGTTAAGACGTGGCATTTTCTTCACAAGTACTCATGGTGAGCATTAAAGAATAAAGTACCAAAAAAGCACCTTCCTAGGAGATCTAACTGGAAAAGCTCTTCAAAGAAACAGAATGTACAAAATTCCTTGCAAATTAGACCAGACAAGGCTTATCATTTGAATTCCAAAGAATAATGTGGAGTGTTTTGTTTGTTGTTTTGGGTTTTTTTCCCACTTGAACGTAATCAGAAATTACACAGCATTCATTACACAGAGTAACGCCAGCAAAACTTCTTACATTACTATACAGGCAGTGCCCACATTACAAATAAGGTCAGTTCCCAACTGTGTCTGTAGGTGGACTTTGTAGGTAAGCTGGAACAGGCGCCCACTTTATGAGACACAACTGACTCAATGGCAGTGGGTGGCATTCGGTTTTTCGTGCAAGAAAAAGTCTGAAGCCGTTTTGTCCCCACCAGCCCCATCCCAATGATTTAAAAGCTTCAAGTGCAGCAAGTAAGGTGATGGTGAGAAGAATTTATTGAAGGCAGAAGTCAGTTCAATCCTCTTACAGTGAGGGAAAACTGACATGTTAAAAGGGCAAGCTGGAGTTGTCCTGTAACTCCGATTTTCATACCCAGGGGACTGAAGGCAAAGTACCAGGTTTTAAAAGCTGACATCTTTTTACATCAAGATCGCAACCCAAAGACGTATAATGCCACCCACAAATCACTTCCTTGTAAACGCTACTGGCATGCTAAGTGTTACAACTGCATTTCATTCCACATACGGTCTGCTATAATAATACGAAAGACTGGATGAGCTAAATGGAAAAAGACTTACCCCTGTTGCCAATTCCTCACATTGCTGCTTCTTAGACGCTAAGTCCTGAGCAGCCATCTCCAAATCATACTGCATAAGTTCATGTTTCCTACACACGGCCCTGGGGAAAACGGAAAGTGTGCTATTTAATTTTTGGCTTCTCTTTAAATTAAAAAAAGACATACCCACCCACCCCCCCCAAATAGAGTGGGGAGAACATTCATTTTACATTTAAAATAAAAAGGTGGTTTTCTACATATTTGCAACATATTGGAAAGAAATATAACATTACCACACACATTACAACCCAAGAACTAATGCTGTATTCTCAAAACTGGGAACCATCTTTTACGCAATGATTTGAAAATATCTTGCTGAGGTGTCTTGCTACTAAAAAGTTCAAGAAGGAGCAACAAATAATGTACGCAGATGTTTTCACACCAGTTACTAAACAGCTAAAGAAATACCGTTCCTTCCGGCTTGCTAACAGAATTTTTTTTTACCACTTTTCAGATTGATAGGAAAACTGATTAAACTAAAATTGTTAGGGCCAAAAGTTGTGAATTCCTAGAAAATTATTCACATTTTAAAAGAGGAGAGAAAAAAAAAATAGTAACTTTTTCTTGATCAAACAGAAATGGTAATATAAAATCCTGGCATGACTATACAAACTCAATCTGCATTTTGTTTAGCCTTCAAAGTGAATAAAAGTATAAGGAAAATAAAAGATAGACATGATGTCTAAGACTGGAAGGTCTTATCAATGTAATGTTTCAAAGAACACCTTAAGTTTCTATGCCTAGCATAATGCAATATACAGGAGGAGCATAATGAGATCTCATTATATAACTTAGTGAATAGATTTATTAAAAAGAAAGAAATCTTATTGTTTGTACTTCACAGAAGCATTATGAAGAGAGTGGTGATCAGACACAGAGCTGGATTTGGAACTTGTATTATACTCACCGCAGGGCTTCTGCATAGAAAAGATACTCTTTCAACTGATCTGCATAATGTTCTTCATCTTCCAAAATATCATCAATAGAAGATGCATATCTGTTTAAAAAACACAGGGCACAAAGAGAGTAACTTTCATTGAGGCAGTACGTGTTAATGTTTTAAAGAAGTGATACACAAAGTACAATACACACATGACAGAGCACACAGAAAATGCAAGGAAGTACTGGAACATTTACAGCAACTTTCAACTGTCATGAAAATTTTACTGAATTTCATCAAAAGGTTTTGGTCAGTGATGTTCAGAAACCAAAGCAAAACAAACTAAAACTAGTCTTCCGCACAGGTAGCTTAAGAAGCACTGCAAACCCAATTACAAAATGAGCAGAGTATATGAGAGACTCCCCACCAAAGACATTTAGAAGGCCCACAAATACATGAAGAAATGCTCAAGATCACTAGCTATTCTCCAGTCACTGCTTTTGAGTGAGAACTGAGTCATAGTTGACACTCCAGGGAGCTTTCAGAGGCTGTAAATTGCACAGGAGGAGATTGTATTATTTCTCTGATGGAACAGCTGGTAGATTCAAATCACCTGCCTTTGGACTGGCGGCAATTACCTACCCAGTAGGGGAAAGGACATCATGCTTGGAAGGATGGAGGGGCAGTGCAGGAGAGGAAGACCCAGGATGAGATGGATTGACTCAGTGACTGGAGAAGTGGGATTAGGTCTGTAGGAGATGAGACTGGCTCAGGACAGGGCAAGTTTCATATCTAGTGTACAAAGGGTCGCTCAATGGCACATAACAACAACAACAAGGCCACCAGAGTTCCCCATTAGCTGTTAGAGATGTAAATCAAAACAATGAGACATCATCGTACCTCAGCCACAAAAGCCGAAGTTCAATAAGACAGTAAACAATAAATGCTAGTAAGGGTATAAAGAAATGGAACCCTGGCGTAATGGTAAGAAACTGTGCTGCAGTCCAAAAGCACAGTTCAAATCCACCAGCTGCTCTGTGGGAGAAGAATGGGCCATCTCTCCCCTGTGATAAATGCCTCGGAAAACCTGCCAGAGGGTCAGCTATGTATTGGTTCTGACTCAACGGTACACAAAAACATATTCCTGGTGGGAGTATAAAGTGGTGCTGCCACTATGGAAAGCAGTTTAGAGCTTCCTTTAAAAAAGTGGAAAACAGAAATACCATTTAATCTAGCAATCATAATGAGCTAAATATCCTGAAAAAACAAAAGCTGTGACATAAATGCTTATAAACATACCTATGTTTTTACAGCACCATTATCAGTGAAGGCACAGTTAAAGAAACTATGTTACATTCATCTAATAGAGTACTGTGCCTCATTGAAAAGCAAAGAATAATTATTAAACACTGCATAATATGGATGAATACAGAAGATATTTTTTTGAGTTACATGTCAGTAACAAAAGGGCAAATACTGTACAAAAAGCAAAAGAACCGTTGACCCACAGACAGAATCATTCTAGTAGGACTGCCAGGGAGGGAGGGAGAATAATATTGATACTTCCTAAGGTGGGTGAAGGGAAAGGCAATGTAGAAGAGAACATGGATGATCAGACACTGTGGGTATCGCAATCACTGTTGTAAATAAAACAAAATGCTCAATGATTGACTGAAAAACCAATATGCTTTGTAAACTTTCACTTGAATTATAACTAAAAATTTTTTTAAAGTGAGACCTGTACAATTTGGACAATTTTAATTTGAACAAATTTGAACAATTTCGATTCAAAGAAATTACTAAAAAGGTTAAAAAAATCTGTAGAAAGAGCAGGAATTAATAGGAGGATATAACTGATGTATACACATTCGCAATAGCAACTATTGATGATAATGTTAAAAGGCTAGAAAAGGAGAAGTGGGGCACGTACAAATAGTAGATATTCTAGGCACCTTCCTTTATGTTAATTCTCAGGAACAAGTCCTGCTTTTACTAAGGCCATCACTTATCAGGAAGGCTAGTTTGGGCATGAACCTGGCTCCCAGAGCATAGGGACCGCTTTCCACATCCTCCAAATCCATTCAGCACACACCTAACCACCTCTGTGACATTTTCTCAGATGCCTTCATTTTAGTGTCTCCTCGTAACTCTACTTCTGACCTCTAATCAAAAATTTAGAACTTAAATTATATAGAAGTAACTATCTGTTGGCACTTTTCTGATTACACTATAAATTCTCTAAGGACATGATCTAATATCATGTGCTTGCTTTTCTGTGGCTTAACAGACATCTCATTTCAAACTTCATTCTGATTTCTTAGCACAAGGATTAAAGAATAGTTATGTTTATGTCTCGAGGCCTGCTTTATATAGACAGGTAAGCTAAGTTTACTGAAGTTTAATATAAATAAACATAGGAAAGTTCCTTTACAAAGTTAGATGCTTGCAGGATTTATAAAGGGATATAAAGCACAGGCTCTGTAGTCACAAATTTACTGGTCAGAGGACAGAATTTCTTTTGTCTTAACTCCTGACAAATGCCTTAAGAACCACTGTTAAAATCAAGAAAAAATGTCATTGACTTACAAATGTAAGATTCCAGAACATTAATGCTAAGAAAACCACAAAAAAGAAGACCACAGGGCTGGTGGCTTGTGAAGCTGCTGTTGTTTTTAGGTGCCACTGAATCAAGTACAACCCATAGTAACCCTATGAACAACAGATCTGAACCTTTCCTATCCTTCACCATCTTCATCATCGGACACACTGGAGCCCATTGTTGCAGTCTCTGTGTCAATTCACCTGACTCAGAGTCTTCTTCTCCTTTGCTATCCCTCCATCTTTCCAAGCATGACATCCCTCACCAACGAACAGCCTCTCCTATCAACACGCACAATATATGATGTGAAGTTTTATCATCCTTGCCTCCAAGGAGCACTCTGGCTCCATTTTCCTAAGACATATCTGTTTGTTCTTTTGGTAATTCATGGTATATTCAGTAATCTCTTACACCACGGTTCAAAGACATCAATTCTTCTTCTGTTATCTTTCTTCATTGTCCTGCTCTCAGGAGCATAGCAAGTGATTAGAAAGCCCATGGCCTGAGTCAAGTGTGCCTTACTCCTCCAACTGACATCACTGTTCGTCAACAAGTTGGAGAGGTCTCTGACTGCAGAGTTTTCCAGTGCAATACGTCTCCTGACTGCTGGTACCAAGTGACCTCAACCCCTGGGTCCTGCTTGAAGTTAGGACTCACTTATAAACCACAAATTACAGGCTTCCAGACACAAGTACTACCAATAATGTAATACTTTAATTAATCAACTGGGAGAGAGAGATGCTAAATTCTTTCAGATAGTAAAACATTAAGCCAACAGAATGCAGGAGCATCTCAGAGTTGAAGAAGTTACCTGAAAATAATAGGCAGTTTACTTAAATATGGCTTAATGAAAAGTAATTGCAGACATTGTCCAAAGACTCTTTTCCAAATCACAACAGTAACTGTTATTTTTGCATGTGTGCAAAACCATGCAGTCAGTGTAATGTTGGAATATAGGTAGACAAATTTTGATCACTTATCAGAAAGTCACACTAAGCAGAGATTTTCTTTTAACTTTAGAATTACCCAAAAGCCTGAGTCATATGTTCACAGTTCCAGAAAAGCAGAAGTAATGCTCCCCTCGGAACTCGGACGTATCCCTGTCTTACTGCTGCTGCTGATGTGGCTTTGGACTAACTCTTCGCTTATTTCTCAGGCTTGCTCCGCACTGTCAGGACTGTCACTAACGGCAGGCTGACGAGCACCTGGCAGAGAGCCTGTCATGGGGATCCAGGCACCACACAGGTGGCGAGATGAAGAGCCTTTGAAGATATTTTTGAAGATACTGATGCTATCTTTCCCCAAAGGACATGTTTCTCTTTCTCTTATGGCCTCTGGATTTTTTATCATGCTTAGGTAACTCTTTCCTATTGTTTTTATTTTCCTAATGTACCATGTACCCTGTTGTTCCCCAGTACTTTTCTGGCTTTTAAAATTTTTTTCGGGGGGGGGGTCTCTTCCATCCATCTGAAAATAATTCCAGTTTGGAAAAAAATATGGATCCAGCATCTGCCTTTTTTTTTCCAAAAAAACAGAGCCAGTATGTTCCTTTAGATAGCAGTCTGTGGCCTAACAGCTGTGTATTCACACCCACAGGTCACAGCAGGCATGTAACATATGTTTACAGAACTGAAAGAATCACATGGATTATTTTTACTTTTTCAATTGTTTACTGAGGTAAACATTACATACGGAGACACACACAGATTGTTTTGTATAAAGACGGGTACCGTGCATTACCTGAACCCAGATAAGAGAGAACAGTAGCTGCTTCCCATAAAGCTTCTCTCTCCTTTTCCAGTCACTCCTTACTCTCCTTATAAGGTTCCTCTTGTGATTTCTATCACTATAGGTAAGTTCTGTTTGTCTTTATGTGTCATATCAATATGTCTAGTTTTATGTTGAGAGAGAGAGAGTGTGTGTGTATGTGTGTGTGTGTGTGTGTGTGTGTACATGCAACATGCTTTCAAGATTCCTTTATTTAGCCCCTAAACTTCTAAACCTGGTACAAAGCTCACCTCATGGCTGAACTATTAGCCAAATATGAGAGAGGCCCCCAAAATTAACAGTAATACCGGGGGCATGAAGTCCTTAAAACAATCAATCCTACAAGAGGAAAAGGGTAGCATTGACTCAAGGAGAAAATAATAGAAAGCAGGAGGGGTAGGAGAGAAGGATTGTGAAAATGAAAATCACAGGATGGAAAGGAGGCTGTGCGTACTGTAATTAATATTATAAAACAAGGGAGCTCTGGTGGCCTAGTGGCAAGACGCTGCACTGCAATCCCAGAAGTACGTGGTTCAAATCCACCAGATGCTCTGCTGGAGAAGGAGGGGACAACCTCCTCCTGTACCAGTCAGATCTGATTTGACGGTACACGTAAAATTAATACAATAAAATTTAAAAAAATTATAAAACAAAATATGTATCAAAAATCTGTAAATTTTCACCCATATCACTATGAAATAAGAAACTAGATCAATCTTTTTTGTTATGTCTATCGATAGCTGATGTCATTTCATTGCGGAGTATTTTATGACATGAGCAAGCCCACAGTTTAACAATTCTTTTACTGATAGTTTGCAGTTTGGATATAATATAAATAAAACTGTTATTAACAATGCTGGGTGGGACATACACACACATATGCATATACATGTATGTATATGTCAAAGTTCAGTTTGGCTTCGTTAACTATGAAATAGGAGAGAGCAAGAAGCTCTTTTTCCATGTGAAGGAATCTCAAGACGGCATTGAGCTACAAGCAGTCGATGAAGTGGAGTTCTCAGTGATTCTTAACATACCGGCAAATAAAGCACCTGTAACGTTTGGCCAAGTGTGGTGAGATGTATTTTTGTTGAGTCGTTAACAATTGTTACTCTTCTGGAACATTAATTTCTATCTTCCTCTCTTTTCTCTCCCCTTTGCCTTGATATCTTTGTTTATGTCTTGATATTTCGTATGTCCTTTTCTTAATTTTCTAACCTTTTGATTGCTATAAATTTGTCCCAGTGAAACATTATATGGTCGCTTGCTATATACTAGATCCTAAAAAAACCCCCAAATAATATTATGTGATTCATGTTTCTTTTCTCCTTAACTCTTTTCATTAAACCACTACATAATGTTCTGTTTAAAATTCAAATGATAATAGTTTAACAGTCCTCACTGATAACACTTTTTTAAAAAGTATCCGTAATGTTGTTACTATTAAAACAGTTCAAAATCCCTGGAAATATTTCTTAACATTTAGCTTCTCTAAAAGTATTTTCATTTGGAAGCAGGAATAGCATCCATTTCCTAAACAACAAGCATCTGGAAACTATGAATTTTGAGAAAAGACAAGTTATAGAAAGGCTTCAGGTCACTAGGAGTCACGCTCAACTCGACAGCAATCATGAACAACAACATATGTGTGTGTATGTATGTATATGTGCATGTATGTGTGTGTGTATATATAACAGCCTTCAATATGGATTGAAGCTCAACATCAAGAAAACAGATTCTCACAACTGGGCCAACTAACAGCATCATTATGGATAGTGAAGAGATCAAGATTGTTAACAGTTTTAGGTTGCTTGGTTCCACAGTCAACACTCTTGGTACCAGCAGCCAGGAATTCAAGAGACAAATTGCTTTGGGAAAGAAAGTAAGCTGTCAGGGACTTCTCCAGAATACTGAAGAGCAATGATGTCAGGCTGGAGACTAAGTTGCACCTGATCCAGGCCATAGTCTTTGCAACTGCGAGCTATGCATCAAAAACGGGACAGTGACAAGGTATGACAGAAAGAGAACTGATGCCTTTTGAGCTGTGGTGCTGGAGAAGAGTGTTGAATATACCATGGACTGCTAGCAAAACAGATTCATTCTAGAGAGGGTAAAACCAGGCTGCTCCTTGGAGGCAAGTATTCTGAAGCTTCGTCTGACATATCTTGGACATGTTGCAAGGAGGGACCAGTCCTTGGAGAGGGACGTCATGCTTGGGAGGGTGGAGGGACAGCACAAGAGAGGAAGACCCTTGATGAGATGGATTGATTCAGTGACTGGGGTAATGGGGGTTGGTGTTTTGGAGACAGTGAGATTGGTACAGGACAGAGCAGGGTTTAGGGCCATTGTACATAGGGTCACTATGAATCGCAGATGACTCAACGGCACATAACAACAACAACCACAACACATGGATATTATATATTATATATTATATATTATATATTAT